TCAGCCCACGGGCGCCGGCGTGGCACACCTGCGCACGGCCACGCGGCGGGAGCCGTGCATTCCTCCGGGTACGACCCTGCACTTCCGAGGGGACGACAGAGTAAGGGTGGAAACGCGGGTCCGTTCCTGGCCCCGGCGGCCGTGGGGCCGGTCAGCAGCGGCCGCCACCCTCGCCGGCTGCTCTTACCACCAGTGCGGCCCCGGAGGAGGAGAGAGACGCGAGCCGCTGGGAGGCGAGGCCGCTGCCCAGCCCGAGAGCTGACGCTGGCGCCCACCTGCGGCCGGAGAGTGGCCGCTGCCCAGAGGAAGGCGGGCGCAGGGCAGAGGGCCAGTCGACGGCCCCTTGGACGCGGCCACCTGGCGAGGGAGGCCGGGCAGGAGGCCGAGGGAGGCGCCGGTCATCCACGGGGGACACACCGCCGGGCTGCGGCCCGGGCCGCCGCGGGCTGGGAAGCCCCTGCGAGCCGCCGGCCACACTCGCTCTCGCCTCTTCCCTGGTGCCGCAGACTCGGGGGTCAGCTCCAGGCGCGAGGCCCATGCGCCCCCAGCGATTAAGGGAAAGGCTGACCCAGACCGAACTTCCCCGCGCCTGCCTGGCGCAGCGCCTGCACCCTCCGGCTCCGGGCGGTGGCTGCTTCCCGCACAGCGCGGGTGCAGTTCCCAGAGGCCCGCCAGGCGCGGCGGCCAGGAGCCCGGTGTGGCGGGCCAGGCGGCCTCCTCTGGCCCGTCCGGCTGCCGTTCCCTCCCACCCTGCAGGGCTGAGCACGGGCGCCACGGGCAGACGGCTCCCTCCTCCGCGGGTTTAGCTCCGGCATCTGCAGCGGTGGGTTCTAGTCTGCGAATTCCTTAGGGAGGCCGGGGAGGCCGGGGAGGCCAGGCCTCCCCGACCTCCCTGACCTCCCTGCAGAAATGGACGTCAAGTGGCCAATTCCGGGGGCGCAGGCAAAGCGAGACTCACCCACGAACAACTCGGGGCCGGCCTCTGTCGGGGACTCTTTGTCCCCGATCACGGATTGTTGGGGGGCAGAGCAGGCAGGTCTCAAGGTGGGAGCGGCGTGGGAGCGCGGAGATTCCCAAAAGGGGAAAAGGGGGAGCAGCGCGAGGAAGACCCCGAGTCGGAGCTGGGTGCGAGTCTCCCTGCTCTGCTCCCAGCAGTTTATTTTATACACTTTAGGCCGCAGTGAGCATATGAACGGGGCTGAGGCCACAAACTTTTCTGAGAGCAGTTTGGGTCGTACAGGCCTTGAGCTAAGATGATCGATCTATTAAAATTAAGATAAGTCCATAAAATTTAAGGCTAACATCTTTTAGTGACGGTTGGCTAAAAATAAAATCCTTTTAGATCTAAAATGCTATTCTATGACCTTGATTTTACTAAGAACATCTTAGAGGGTAAAGTGGAGTCGAGGATCAGGGTGGAGAGTGAAGGGCAGAGGAAGGTCGTGGCTAGGGCTGGCGATTCTCTCCGCGGAGTCAATCACACGGCGACACCGCGAAGTTCCCCAAAAGCTGAACAGAGGATCTAGGTGAAGCCCCTTATCTGAAAACTAAACAGTAGGAAACTTTAGCAGTTCTGTAAAGGATTATGTGAGATAGTAGAGAGATGGGATTTGGGTTCTCCTTCGGGCAGTAAAAGAATCCTGATTATTCTAGCACTGCCTTGTCTCACGATATTGATGTTGTTTTAACTGTTTTTTATTAACGGCCAGTTGTAGTATTTTTTACTCCAAGAGGACCGTCCCACCCTGGGGCAGCGCCTCCCCCTGAGCCAGGCAGCGCCTTACGAGGCTGAGGCCGTCCAGTAGGAAAGTGATGGCTGCTGGGAATATTCTGATTATACAGAAAAGGGGGGTCATCATGTAACTGGGTGGTCCCTAGGAGAGGGGAAGTTCCAGGTTCCCTGCCCCACCCAGAAGGAGGGTGGAACTGAGCAGAGAAAAAGGAGAGAGAAGAAGAGAGAAGGAAGGCAGAAGGCAGATGGAGAAGGAGACCTAAGGAAGCCACATGGAGCAGCAAACATGTGATGAAGAAACCGGGCTTGTTTCCTGGCCCTGGACTGGCTAAGGCAGATGTGGGTGAGATACCTGTAGGGATGTGACCATGGCAGTGTTTATATTGATTTTGATTTTGCTCTTTTCCTCTCAGATTTGTCTGGCCATTTCTGACCCTTTTCCATGGGTCCCGGCCAGAAGGTGCTTTAGTCTTGTGGCTGCTTTCAGGCCTTGCTTTGGGCCAATCCCTTTTGGGTTGACTTTTGCCCACGAGGGGATGGGTAACTTCAGGTGTTTGATTTAGAAGTTACATTCTTTGTATTCCATATTGTATATTCTTTGTATTAAAGTCACTTTTCATTAAAGCTTTATATGTTTTGTCTTGTTGCGGCGGATGGCAGAACCCACTTAGAGCAGGCAGGTTTTGGGGCTTCAGGGGTGCCTCTCTCTGAATTGAGGTGCCCTATAACAATCACACGAGCTAGCGAGGAAATGCTGATGTTCCAGGGCACTTCTGCTCCATCCGTATCGCGCCTGACGAGAGGCTGCACAGCTTGTGTGAGGCCTCCAGGCCCCCCCCCCCAGAGCCCATAAAGGTCTGCGGCAGAAATGTACCCACGGCGCAGGTTCTCCCGGCGAGAAGTCTGGTCTGTCCTTCCTGACTCACAGCTCCCTGGGCCCTGACCGCCGCCCGTCATCACAGGGGCCCGCCGCCCCCGGCACCCTCCCCGCGTGGCCCCACGGACCCACACTGCGCAGCGGGGCCCGCCGGGCACACAGAACCCGCTGGCGGAACCCCCAGAGGCTCACACTCACACTCACTCACACACGCGCTCTCACACTCAGACACGCTCTCACTGACACACACTCACGCTCACAGACACAGACACACACGCGCTGTCACATAGACACACTCACACGCACTCACAGACACACACACTACTTGCCAGTCCAGAGGAGCATGCTGGTGGGAGAACGCTGTGGACTCCTCGGTCCCCGGGTGGGCGAAGGGGCCTCCGGGTCTGGACAACCTAGCTCAGCTGCCAGCCCTCGGCAGCCCGACCTCCCCGGCCTCCCTGGCCTCCCTGACCTCCTTGACCTTCCCGACCTCCCCGACCTCCTTGACCTCCCCGACCTCCCCGACCTCCTTGACCTCCCCGACCTCCCCGACCTCCCCGACCTCCTTGACCTTCCCGACCTCCCCGACCTCCTTGACCTTCCCGACCTCCCCGACCTCCTTGACCTTCCCGACCTCCCCGACCTCCTTGACCTCCCCGACCTCCTTGACCTCCCTGGCCTCCTTGACCTCCCTGACCTCCCCGACCTCCTTGACCTCCCCGACCT